GGGGTAAAACTGTGTAAAGAACACTGTGTTGTGTGATTTTACTGCGAGACCCTCTGGTCAAAGCCACAAAGGAAACTGGTCGCCATTTTGTGTCAGCTCTCCTTAAAGCGGAAGGAGACGCCCACTAGAAGGTTGGAGGGTGAAGTGTTTCAGTGTAACATGCTGCTCTGTTGCTGTTCAGTTCTTAAGTAAGACTGGAAACTGTTAAGAGTTAACAACATATTCTTTTGTTTAAAAATATATGGTTAAACTAAATTTGATATATTTTGCACTGTTTTGCACAAGAAAGAAACCTAATACTTGATTTGTTTTTTATTTAAAAACTCTCTGGACCTAGTAGTGGAATTTTCTTAATTGAGATTATTTTGTGGTATAGCAGTTTTCAAAATAAATAATGGCAAAAGGACACCCTGTGCTTTTTTCATTCCTATTGCAAGTTTTACACCTAAAACATATTGTGATATATATCGTTACCGCCACCCATCACAATGCATATCGTGATATGAATTTTATGCCATATCGCACGCCACATCCCTAACTAAACCCCTTGAAAATAAACAAATACTAGCTAAAAGCTAAACGTAGCTAAGGACGAAAAGAGCATATTAGATAAAAGTAGGGAAATACTTGCTAAAAATAGCTTAAGGTTAACTACAAATCAAAAGTTGACAATAAAAAAAATATAAAAGGAACAAAATACTAGCTAAAAAGCCTAATTTATCAAATGTTGTAAATAAACACTAGGTAAAAGCTACAAATAGCAAAATGCTAGCTCAAAGTGTCATAAGACGCAAACAGAGACAGTAGCTGAAGCAGATTTCAAAGAGAATTTTTTTAAGGAACTGAAAAAATCTTTGTGTTTCTGTGGAGAAAATATTTGTAAGTAAACTTTGAAAATTAATAAATGTACAAAAAAAGAGAGCGCCCATCTCTTGAATGAGCTGAACCTTTTGATATACGAATGGTTAAAACAGCCCCAAGTCTGCAGAAGTTGGTATAAAACCTACAGATATAAAAAAAAAACGAAAACACACAAAAAAACTGGGTTCCCATATTGTTCTATATTCCAGACTTTGCCAGATTAAAATCCTCAAATCTTTGTGAAAATTTGACAAATTTATAAGTAAGTTTAACCCACAGAGGTTCTCATAGGCAAGAACTGGCCACACATTTATTTTTGTTCGCTTTTTTTTATTTTTTTAGTGCTGTCAGTAAACATGATTGTTTTTGACAAAGCCTAAAATCTTTCTAATTTTTCTAGAATTTTTTCAAATGCTCCTGTAACCTCGCACTAACGTTACTATCCTCTAGGGGAAAAAAACCGACCATATAGAAAGTCCATTATAAATGCATTTTCTGATCATATAATTATCATAGCATAAAATAATGCATCCCTTCAGTATTTTTTTTTTTTATTATTTTATCTTTGTCCCTATGCTTTAGATTTTATATTAGTTCACTAGGTGATGCTTTGCTTTAAGTGTGAGAGTGTCAGTAAAAATTCACCTGAAGTCTTCGACTTAAACCGGAAGAGGAAACTATTTCCCGGCTAGACGTTGATGCGGAGTTCCGCAAGTCCACTTGTCAAATAAAATTGTCTTAGTTTGGATGTAAAGAGCAAAACACTTGCATGTTGCACAAGTAAATATTTAGTAAAAAGGCAGTTCCACGTGCATGTCGGCTGAAGAATCAAACACTCCTTGGTTGAGAAGGGCTTACCCAAAGGCCTCAACCGCTGATGCACCGAGCTCCAGCAGCTCGGTGATATATTCAGTATAAGCAAAAAAAACTAAACAGAAAATTGCATTGCGCCTGAGTGGAGTTTAAAAGAGTAACAAAAATATAAAAATTATTTTAAAAATAAATAAATTTTTAAAACTCAGTTGGACCCCGAGCCACATGCGCATGCTTCACAGAAAATAAGGCGTCGCTTTCGGATACCTGATTTGGCCAAGATCCGACTGGAAGTTTATTTTTTTAAATTTCCACAAAACCAGTCCTTTTGATTGTACTAATGGGTGAAAAAGTATTTGTGGACAAAAAGCCTTTAAGGAGGTAAAGTAACAATTAAAAAAAATTATACTGTTTTTATTTCAGACTAGTTTGTTTTGGAAAAAAAAATCTAAAAGCAGTATTTTAAATCATTTATGTAAGGTGTTCAATTTTTCCCCTAAAGAACACCAACTGTCATAAAGTTAAAGAATCGTCCAGGGTTATTTTCTATAAATTAAACAACACAAAAAAAAATTGACAGTACAAAAAAGTTTTATTAAATATGTGTAACATTTGATGAATCTTTCTGCGCTGTAATTGGAATCGTGTATAAGTATTCCAAAAACAAACATATACACGATTTATTATTAATAGAAATCCTGCTAAATTTACATGATCCTAAACGTAAAAACATTAAAAACTTTGAGTTTTAAAGATAACGTTGGCAGCCTCAGATAGTGTTAACAGGAAGTCAGACGGACTTCTGCTTCCACCTTCCAGCTCAAATAATTCTGTAACTTTTATCGGCCTTAATAGAAATTACATTTTAAAACTTTATTCCTTCTTGTCGTTGTTCGTATCGGCGCGAGTCCTCTCTCCACCTGGGAATAACGAGCCGGCTTTGAACGCAGTGGTCGAACGGCGACACGTTAAATTTAAAATGACCCGTTATTAATCAGTCAGTAACATTTGTTTTTATAGGTTTAAGATGTATTTTCTACCATGTGTTTTGCATATATTTTATTTATTTTAAGACAACATAATCTTTTTTTTTTTACAGTGACGAGCAGAAAAACCTCTCCAATAATTCTGTTTAATTTGGTTATAAAACTTTATGATTTTTACCCAATATTTTCAAAGCATTTTTACAAGATAAATATTCAATATTTTTATTTTTTGCATTTATATTTCATAATGTAGAAGAAGCAAATTATCCTTCTATTTACAATGGGTTTTTTTTCTATAAATCCTAACACAAAATATTTTGAAATTTTTTTTGTGTTTATTTAAAGGTTTGTATTCTTTATCTAATTTACTTTATTCCTATATTTGTTTGCTGATTAACAAAAATGTTAGGTACGCAACTTTTTAATGATTTTACACTTAAAACAAAAAAATTCAGTAATACTGAACAGAAATACGAAACACCACAGCTGGAATTTTGCACCAAACT